GTACTAACCTTGAGTCAGAGTAAACTAGATCAGAGTAAACTAGATCAGAGTAAACTAGATCAGAGTAAACTAGGATGAAATTATATCATGCAGTAATCAATATCTCTAAAAGGAAAGTAAACCGTTGATAAAACATTAATCTGTTTTTATTTGTCGATATCTGACCAAACTATAAGGTTTCATCAGTTTCTCAGAGTTGAAAACAACTTTAGTGCAAGTAACATATTAGCTAATATAATCCTATTTGAGAATCCGACATTTACTCCAGACCACTCCATCCCCCACCTCACTTAACTGTACTCAATAATTCATCAAAAATATAAAAATAAATTAGTTGTTTAATTTAAATTTTTTTCTTTCGTGTTATTGGTTTTTAAAAGGAAAACATAACAATAAATATTTTATTTAAACATTTCTATTAATGTATACAGTGAGAAGTAGAAGCACAGCCTGTGCACAGGTAGTTATAGATAAATGTGAAGAGACAATTTTATTTACTTAATTGAAGAACGCCATTTTGTCTTTAGCGCCTTTCAGAGAAATCGACGCGGCATGCAGTATCACGTGATAAACAAATGTGTTCACCTCATCCTTTCCTGTTCCTGCTGTTCCTCTCTCGTCATCCCGTCATCATCCTTCTTGTCATCCCCTACTCCGGGTACAGACTAGAACACAAGAATAAATATTTTAGACAATTTTCAAGGTTAAAAAGATTAAATGTATCCAAATATATCAAAGGATACACGAAATTAAATTGCATAACAGATTCATATCCAGAAGTACTGAAAATGAGTTTTCTCCAGACAATGAACAAAATAAAAAAATAAGCTAAAGTTGATTTTTACCCAAAGTTAACCAGACTTTTTAGTTGTTGTAAAATTCTGGATCGTATTGAGTGATTAAGCATTTACCCTCAAATTTACGATACTTTCCACAAAATTATCGACCCCAGATGGATTGAAAACTACCTTTTTGGGATTAAAAAGATTGATAGAAATAGGATACATTGTTATTGTTAAGACATAAGCTGTGTTTATTCTGTTAATGTACAATCATCTTTGATTTTCAAGTTCAGGTTTCTATTTCAATTCTCCAAGTACCCGTTTCAGTATATAATTAATCATAGGTATCATAGGTATCAACACCACACTTATCTAGAACCTTGATTATGTAGTAAACACTAAAATAATTAATTTGTCCTAAACCTTGTTGGAAACAGGCCCCGGAGCGATATCATACCCTGCATTTTAAACCTTGCATCAAGCAGAACCTGTATCTAACAACTTATCCTATTTGTTTTAAACCTTGTTTTAAACTGGACCCATTGCTAAGTTAAACCTTTCATTAAACAGGATCTAGAACAAAATCTTGCAGAAAACAGTACCAAGACCTAAAACAAACCCTGGGTTCTAAACCTTGCAGAAAACAGTACCAAGACCTAAAACAAACCCTGGGTTCTAAACCTTGCAGAAAACAGTACCAAGAGCTAAATCAAACCCTGGGTTCTAACCTTGCAGAAAACAGTAAATGAACCTGAACCGAGTTAAATTAAACCCTGGGTTCTAAACCTAGTATGAAACTGAACCGAGTTAAGTTTAACCCCGGGTTCTAAACCTTGCATGAAACTGAACCGAGTTAAGTTAAACCATGGGTTCTAAACCTTGCATGAAACTGAACCGAGTTAAATTAAACCCTGGGTTCTAAACCTTGCATGAAATTGAACTGAGTTGAATAAAACCCTGGGTTATAAACCTAGTATGCAACTGGACCCAGAGCTATAAAGTGAACTATGCACTCTAAACCTTGAAGGCAACAGTACCTGGATAAAGTAAACATGTATGAAACAGGACTTGGAGCTAGAGTGGGTTCCCAGTTCTGATAAACTGATCTTCGAAATTTAATTTCAAATGAAAATGGAACCGAAGACTTCTAGAGAATTTAAAGCAAAATAAGATATCTCCTTTTCTATTCACTCAACCAGAAAAGAAAGATTCTATTCCCCCTCCCCCCACTCCTCCACCCCGCCACACCTCCACCCTCCCACTTCTCTGTCTCCATGAAGTTGTGCCTCGAAGGTAAAATGTATGTTTCTCTCTCTCACATGAATTAAGAAAAAAGTTTCCGGCAAAGAAGCATGAGCTAAGTATTATAAAGAAACCTTACACTCATTACACAAATACATCAAAATACCTTTACAGAAATAAAAAAAATGGAAGACGACGGTTTTAGATTTTACCGGCATTGATCCCATCGGGTTCATCATCTTCAACATCATCCCCGCCATCTTGGTTTAGCTTTAGTCTCTGAAAATAAAATGATTTTCATTAGGATTTTCCTGAGAATTTCTGTCTTTTCCCTTTATTACATCTCTGATAAGCTCCCAAGGGAGAGAGAGGGCTCCTGCGATTTATCTAGAGGTCTAATATTTTACCAGTAACTTATTAAATAAGTTATTAAGTTAATTAGTGTCTGTTTATTGGGGTCTATTTACACTGCACATTTTTGGCGTCTATTGGACTATTGAAATTCAAAACTTGAATCTTACAGTCGTCTTTCCGTTCCAGAGTTTTCTGGTTCTCATTATATATAAAGTTACACAATTGATTTTATTCAATTGTGGTTTTTTTCTGTTAAAAATCACTTGCAGATTTATGCAGGAGAGACATGGAATATAACTTATTGAGATAGAAAATTTACAACATCTTTGGCACCCAAATACAATTTATAATGCTCATCCTTGCTTATTTAAAGCGCCTTTTATTTTTGGGAAATATAATTTCGGCTAAAATAAATTTTACGACGAGTTCTTAGAGCTATAGCTGTTTTTTAATTGACATAATGGTAACAATAATAATAGTGTGATGATTGCTACTTTATACCAGTAAAGATGCATCGTCTATAATTAAAATCCTGCTTTCAACTGTTTTTTTAATGATCTCATGGTCAAATAAGGATCATTAAAATTTCCCTAGAATTATCGTACTTGAAGTCAAATAAGAATTTCATGGTTATTTTCTTGCCCTTCTGTATTTTGTTGCCATTCTGTATTTTCTTGCCCTCCTGTATTTTGTTGCCCTTCTGTATTTTCTTGCCCTCCTATATTTTCTTGCCCTTCTGTATTTTCTTGCCCTTCTGTATTTTCTTGCACTTCTGTATTTTCTTGTCCTCCTGTATTTTCTTGCCCTTTTTGTATTCTCTTGGACTTCTGTATTTTCTTGCCCTCCTGTATTTTCTTGCCCATCTGTATTTTTCTTCAATTTTTTTCTTTTAGAAATAAAAACATAAGCCTTTGCTTAAAAAGTAGGNACATACAGGGTGAAGAACATACACTGGTAGAGCAACCCCTAAACACATACAGGGTGAAGAACATACACTGGTAGAGCAACCCCTAAACACATACAGGGTGAAGAACATACACTGGTAGAGCAACCCCTAAACACATACTTTGTGAGTGAGAATAAAAACGAGGTTAAAAGATTTTGTACATTGGAAAAGGTATTTGTTTTTTCAATGTTAAAAATTTAAAAAAATTTTATCACATTTCAATGTTTTCATACATGAAATGCAAAACAATCAAGACTTTTGAAAATGATGTGCAAAACATCCCTTTAATCCCGTTAATTTTACTTATCCTGTTCAGATCCAGATTGCTATAAAAAGTTTTAATTTTTAAGACATGAAGTGTCCCAACGCCTTGCCTTTTGATTTTAACTCACTAAATTACTTATACTTTGTGTAGCTCTAGACATTGTACATTTAAGAACCATTAATCCCATGTTTTAGCGTTCGCTTTTAATCAGTAATTGGAAAAATTGTCATTGATATTTGCGTGAGCGCTTGCAATCATTGCATGGACCACTGTGTAACCACTATAGTTTTTCCATTTACTGATACTTGATAGCGTCGATTAAAGAATTCATATCTTTAATTGGATAATGAGATAGATAGATGATACCGCCATGCAATTTCTATTGGTTCAGAATAGACAACAAACACATGACTGAACCCGGATTGGATCAGGCGCTAATGGACTCGGAATGGACCGGGGACAGTTTGACATATCAAATATTGGAAATATTGCTGTTGGGAGAATACAGGGACAAATTCTTAAAGAAAGTTTGCTGGATTTTTTTTATATAAAATTCTTTTGCTCAGATTTATTGGGCAGATTTAATATAAAAGAGAAGTAATTTTTTCCCAAGCTTATTTAAAGATAAGAATTCCCGTTCTTTTCTATATAAGCTTAACACAGATTATTCTACATAAAGTTGTAAACTTTAATCTCTGTTTGTTTGTCTGTCTGTTTGTTTGTCCGATCATAACTTATGACAGATTTGCCTAAACTTATGATCAACCAGCTCGGTTAAACCATGGGAATATTCATTAGTCAGGATGAAAAGTTGAGTGGTTGAACTTTTATAGGGGAAACTCCAGGCGAAGCTGGGTTTTAAAGCTTGAATTTAAAAAAAAAAGATTATTATTATAATTTTCCGTGCAGACTTATTTGAATAGATTTACTTTACAATACATAAAGGAAAACATTTATTGGTGATAGTGATGATAAACTTAATGATTAATGATTATGCTTGAAGAATTATAAAATCATTCGTAATAAATACTTCTCTCAAAATTATAGATGCATTTGAGATAGAGTTTGTTTGAGTTATTTTTTTTCTTAAGGGCCGGTAACCAAGGTTATAATGCAAGGAAAGTAAATTGCAGCTACGTATACTCTGCTTACATATCAAAACTAGTTCTCTCAAGACAGAATTTGTAAATTTGTAAACAAGAATAGATGAATCAGTGTTCCTATCCGAGGAGGTTAAAAGCATTAAATTTTGATGATTTTGTTAATTCACATAAGAGTTTCCTATGACCAGAATATTTCATTGATTTTTTATGTGAAAGATGGATCCCATGTCAGGCTTCGATATCTCCGCCCAGAGACAGTACATTGCAGCACAAAATATGCGTACACCTCTGAAGTAACTTTCCTGGCATTATAACCTTGCAGTAAACCAAAGTGTGCACGCTATTACACAAAATAATTTTTAACGCAAAAACCAACAAAAAACAAGCGTCTTGTAGTTCTAAAATGTACACGTCAAAGGCTACAAAAAAGTGAGTTTATAAGGTGAAACCATAACCCGATCCCGATGCATATTTTACAATGCTGTCTGGGTTTGGAAATTGACGGAATAGGTTAAAGGGAGTGATTTTAGCTGAAGAGATGGGTAAGATTTGCCTCAAATATGAATTATTTCGTAATTTTCAAAAAATAAATTTTAAATAGAAATCCAGAGAATAATCATGATTCTTTATTCTCTAATCTATATGATGTACAAGTATTAAACAAAAACTGCTTAAAAACCAATAATTAACTGAATTATTTGGAAAAATATTTGTATAAAATTAGATATGATTAAAAGATTCTTAAAAGCCTAAAATTAAATATTTTGGAGTAACTATAGATCAGAAAAATAGATTTTGAATTATACATTTTCGTAATATTTTGATATAGTTCGCTCGTAATATTTTTTTAATGTTGATGAAACCATTATCAGTTACTTTGGCCTTAACCTCAATTTGTATGAATAAAATTCTCTTTATGTTTTTCTTTTAAAAGAATTTTAAATTTTAGATTAAACATCCAAAATTAGAAAAATTTCATTTTCACAATTTTATTTTTCAAGGATTTTTCGTAAGGGTTGATCACATAGGTCTGCCGCTTTAGTATTTGTAAAATGGCGGCACAGTACAAACTAGGACCGCAAAGGTTGGCCCAGTTAAAATATTCAAATGTACACCGGTGGGGCGTGTAATATACTATAAGTGTCAATAGTATAGTTCTTTACAAAGGAATTGAGTTTTTGCCACAAACTCAAATTTTCTAATCCTTATATCTTGGCAACCTAAGGGTGGAAACCCTTGATATTTCAAACTTAGACTATTTGATCTAACAGAATTAGAAAATCAGAGTTTGTGACAAATACTCAATTCTTTTAAGACCAAAGAGGGTAAAAAAATTTATTTTTGTAAAATTTTATTTCTTTTCGATGTTTTAAAAGAATGATAATCTCTACATTATTCTTTGATGATCTAAACATTTCTTATTAATAATAGTAGAGCTTGCAGTGTGTATCCGAACCTTGCAGAGGAAGGGTGTCAGCAGAGCTTTCTAAGCCTGTTGAGAGAAAGGGCGCTATGTGCGTTGTACTTGTATAGAAAACATTTGATGAATTCTTTCGATGTATTCGTTATTAAGGGTTTCACTGTGGTATAATCCAAAAGGGGTAAGGAAGTGGATATCAACCCCTAGAAAGTGCTTGTTAAGAGGGGGGGTGGTTTCTTTTTACGTTTGAGTAGAAAATTGTGTTACAAAAATCAAAAACCAAAAATATATGCCAAAAAATCCCTCGCGGAGAAATTATATCGAGAGGCACATTTTTTTGCCACAAAATTATCTAATCCCTATATCTTTAAATCCCAATGTCGCAGATATGGGGATTAACAAATTTGAATTTGAGGCAAAAACACAGTTTGTTTCTTCTACCATTTAAGTTGATATTGAGTTATTAAAAAATATTTCTGAAAAAAATTCCCTCTCTGATATTTTACAGAAATTTCATGATAGAAGGACGGGTTCAAGTGAAAGTGTAATCAGATAGAGGGTGTCCCAATAAACATGGGAATTCAGTGACGAATTCGATATCGTCTTTTTAAATAATTCTTTGATTTAGTATAGTGATACCTACTGAGAAAGCTGTAATCTGTAAGAGTTTCGTCTGCATGTACATTTTGTTTGTTTATGTTTTGACTACATACGGTTGTACTTATAGTAAAACAAGGAAACTACAGTATCAAACAGAGTAAACTTGTCCGTCTTCACTGTTCATCTTGCGTAAACATTATAGACACATCTTTACA